TCAATGCTTAAGTCTTCAAGCTCTGCAAACTCACTCCATCTCTTTTGCTAATGACTAAATTGTTTTTACCCCTCAGGCTACAAAGGGAACTTGTATAGCAAAACTAATTAAACAATTTTTCAATTGGCTGATTTTGTTTTTAATGGATAAGGCTGAATTTGGCTGATTTCATGTTTAAGAAGGAGTTAAATCTGAAACTCACATATATTCTTCTGAGAAAGGAATTTATGCCTTTCAAATAAAAGTTCATTTTTGCTCCTTTGCATTCTAGTCTGACTTATTCGTGCTTTAAATGTTTAGGGATATGACAAATTCTGGGCAACCAAATCAAATGTGCTTTATTATTTATTCCTTTTGCCTTCATTAAGGAAGTAGGTCAATCAGGTTTAATCAGCTGATAACCATTCCTTTGTTCTTCCAGACTTTAGAACAATCAGGACAATATTGCATTTCCACATTTGTAAGTTTATGACTGTTCAATCTCAATAGTTGTATTGATCAATTTCAAAGAATAAATGAAAGGAAACATGATTGTCTTACTCAAAATTCAATTTATTCTGACTTTCTCTTATTAAGAAGAGACAGCACAAGCTCATTGCAGTGTGTTTTGACCACAATGAAAATGAGAAACCTTGTCAAATGAGATAAAGGTAGAGATAATCAAGCTGATTGATAGAGGACACTGAAAAAATGTAACGTTGCAAAGAAATTTGGCATTCATGTAAATTCTTTGTCAAGTGGTGCTAAAAAAAAACAGGTCAATGCTTATGTAGGAGTTCAACAGTCATGCTATGCAAGCAAGAAAAAAGCTCCAGAGTCAGCTCATAAATATGCTGAAAAGATACTTTGTTTGAGTGGTTTAAAGGAGTATGAAGTAAACATTTTTCCATAACTGGACCAATTTTGAAAAAGAAAGCTAGACTTCAAAATTAAGCTTTCCTAAGCCTGATTTTGAACTTGAAATAGATTGATTCAATGTTTCAGAGATTGGCCTGAAATTGTGTTGAAAAGTGTGTATGGAGAAAGTGCTGATGTTGATGACTTCATTATGACAGAATAGTTGCAGTTAAGAAAAGACATGATTGACTATATAGCCCATTTGATATGAAGTTTGACACAGATGAAACAGGCCTTTTTTTACCAACTTTTACCAGATAAAACATACCTTATAGAGTGAAATGCTCTGATTGAAAGAAATCTAAAGCCAGGATGGCAGTATTGATGACTACCAATATGGATAACTGACAAACAAGTTTTTGGTGTAGGGCAGATCCATATGGAGCTAACCCACCTCACAGACAGAAAAAAGTGTTAATTTATTTGTTCAAACTCCAAATTATTGTTTTTAAAAAAACAATTATGGTAGCAAATATAGTTTATCAGACCATCCACAATATGATTGTCATGCATATGTTAATAAAAGATAGTTATAATTATTTAAATATTTTTTGTTTATGAGTTAACTCTCCTCTGTGTTTTTTTGGTTCCACCACTGTTTTGGTGATATGAAAGTCAACTTCAAATGTTTTAAAGGCTGCAAAATTTCACTCATATTATGTGCCAAAATAAAAGCATGGATGACTTCAGAATTGTTTGGAGAGTGGCTCACAGAATTTGATAATGAAATGACACAGAAAAGGAGAAAGATCTTTATGGTTATGAATAATTGCACAGCTCATTCAACAAACATTAGCTTGAAGTTGATCAAAATCTATTGTTGTTTACCTTTAAACATTAGTTTAAATTTATAGCCAAAGGCCCAAGGATTCTTAAATTCATTGAAGAAACTATACAGAAAATGAGTCTTGCCTTACATCTTGATAAGGTTGGAAACAAATCAGACAACAACTATAATTCTACTGGATTTGATAGAAATGGAAGGTGGTTGTTAGAATCACCTGTAGAAAAGTGGAATTGTGCCCATAGATGTTGCATTTGAAGACTACTTTTCTTCTGACTCCATTATGACAGAATGTGACATGACCAACAAAGACATTATCACTTCTGTTATGTACATGGGAAAACAATAAATTGTAAGAGAACCATGAAGAAGACAAAATGATACCTAGGAAGGTATAATTAAAAAATGCTGTTTGGGGTTTTGTGATACAACACATGTCAGCAAAAATTTGTATGAAATTAAGTGCTTGTATTTTTCAAATCAAAGATCAAAGAGAAATAATACTTTAAGGATGCGACGCGACTATGCAGATGCGAATTTAGAACAAGCGAGAGGTTGTGAGCAATTTAGTTTTCACAAAGGAAAACCATGCACAAACGAGAAGCGAGAAATAATGCTAGCGAGAGCGAATTTCTGGTTCTCGCACATATCTGACAGGTTTTGATATTTATCGCGTCTCGCCTCTTCTCGCCACATATTCTCGCTCGCTCGGAAAATTCACTTGCTCGCGTCTGCATAGTCACACCCTAAGTGGCTCAATAATATATATTTTCTCTAGCATCATACAAATAGACAATCTTTCTCTTGTATTATAGGTAAAGTTTTTGTTTGCACATTTTTTTATTTTGTTTTTATATTTTAAACCAAAGCCAAACATTTTCTGCTGTTTGATTAAATAAAAATTCCACACACATTTTAAATAAATAAATGCATGATTGTTTATTACAAAGTATTACTACAATGAAGTTTTACTCAGTCTCCTTCTCATTTGTTACAATGGCACAACTGTAATATTGAATAAATTAAATTTCTTTTAATAAGAAAATGACTAAAAAAATACTATTGCCAGAATTGAAGGGACTAAATAAGCTTCAAATATGTAAAAATATGTTATTTACATTCATTATTCAAAGACATACTTTGAAAAACAGTCAAATATATTTAAAATTCTTTTCAAATAATGTATTATTTGAAAAAAGTTACAGATACATGTTATACAGAACTGAATTTTTGGCATACATACTTAGAATTGGAGTTTTGATTAGCATATTTTATAAAGGAAAAGAGTAGCTAGCAAATGCAAAATTGTAAGAGAAATAGTGAATTATATAGTCAAGTATTCACATAAATATTTCAATATTCAGTTAAGAATTAAACAATAAAAAATTTATAATGTACTTTAATACTTATTACCATTAATTAAATTTATAGCTTTAAGGAAAGTATAAATGATAAGAATGACTAAAAAAATATTAATGAATGAAATATATTTAACTATGTCAGTAGTTGATGTATGATTTAATTATTAAGTCCATGATAATATTATTTAAATCTTTGTTAATAGATTATGCCAATTATTACAGTAATATCTTACTAAGTCAAACTGTGTTAACTTAAAGCTATGTATAGGTCCTGGGCACAGTATAATTTCTACAAAAACCCGCTAGATATAGGGTTTTGTTTTTAGAAGTTTAGATTATAAGTAATAGACTTCCTTCTGCTCAGAGAGCACTAAGAGGCATTTATAGGGTTTTCCATATAATAAAGTCTTGTTAAATCAAAATTGTCAGTATTTTAATCATAAACCTACTTTCCAGTGTACCTTCCATGTTTTGATAGGCAGTTTATCTTCAATTTCTCTTATGTTATATGAATACAGATGATTAAGATAAACAAATAGTATGGGTCTGTGCTGAACACAATACCATACCATTACATTCTTGTATTGACATCCTTTTACTGATATGGTCTGTTTCCAGCATTCTGATTGGGATACAAGGGAGTGTCTGGATAATTCATTCAAGTGTCATAAACTGTATAAATTTTGTAATCATTCTGTGAACAGATTATTGAGAAATCATTTGACAATGGAAAATTTACAGCCAAAGAAAAATTTGATAACATTGGGTATTAAATGCTAACTCAAAATTAGGATTTTTTTACCCTTTAAACTTTGATTTAACAAGGTTTTACTGTATTAAAGAAAAATATTATTTTAAGTAGATTAATGTTCTTATTAGTATGTTAAGAGATCAAGTTTTAATAGTTTACTATGCAAGGTTAGATTTTTATGATGAGAAAATTGCTTTTATTTAATATGTACATTTTATTCTGGGTATTTGTTATTTATATTAGTCTCTGTCCATCTGTAGGACTGATTGCCATAATTTTAGAAGACATTTGATGTCATCAACAAACTTTGTTCTGTTGACATCTGTCACTATGCAGCTTATAATGTGTTTATAATTTTTCTTGATTTAAAGCATTGATGTAAATTGGTTCCTTCACTTTGCAAAAAAAGTATCAAAGTAACATGGGCTCATGTCAGGAAAGTACAGATTGTTTCAGAAGTCCTTAACACCACTGAGTCAAAGATGTCTTACCAAAGCTGTTCAGTTTTAAGTGATGAAAAATCCAACAAGCTGCAATATTTATCTGTAATTTGGTCTTTAAGGTATGCAGAATTGTTGTGTGCACAAGTCTAATTTTAATAGCAAGTTCTTGAATTGTCTGCCTTCTGTCTCTTTCCAGCAGTGATGCCATCATTTCCACCTACTATCCACAGGAAAATTCCCTGACCACATGTTGTCACTCACTTGTTTCCATCTCTTTCTGAACTTTTTTATCTATCTTGCAGTTTTGTATGGTAGAACATCATCTTCATAAACTATCCAACAATGAAAGAATGTCACAAAAGGCTTTGTGACATTCTTTCATTGTTCAACCCTGGATCACTTCAAACTTTAGCCAAGAATATTTCACAGTTTGAAAACATTGTTTATGCTGGTCATTTCCAACACTGATATTTCAAACTACTTGTGCAGCAACATTTCTTAGGGATTTGGACATTGTTGTGCATAGACATAGGGCACATTTCATTTTATCACACTGATGCCCATGGATCTCTCAATATTTCATATTTTTATGAAACGATGGCAGCATTTTTATTATTAAAATTCCAACCCATGTAGTTATGTCAATTCCTTAATTAAGCATGAAGTAATTTTTTTTCTAATTTTCTAAAGCATACTAAAGAATTCTTTCCATTAATTTTTTTTAGTTATGTAATAACAATTAATTTTCAGATTTATTATTTCAGAATTTCCAAGAACATTAAGGGCAGCAGTTACATCTGGTATAGTTGGATTTATTTTTTTCATTGTATTGATGAATATTCGCCAGTATTTATTGAGAATTCTACTTTCATATCGTGGTTGGATGTGTAAGTAGTCATATATTATATCTATACTTAGTTATACAATTTTTATATGTTAAAAGATAAAATTGTAGAATGTGATAGCATTTTTAGAACCTTGTCATTTATTTTCAATTTCTTATATTGCTAGGTTACATAATTTATTTCTAAAAATAATAATACAATTAAATTTTATAATGAATTTATATAATAAATTTTATAGTATTTTATTTATAGCAATAATTAGAGTAAAGGTAAAATAATGTAATATATAAATCTAGATGCTATGTAAATGAAAATGGCATCAGTGAATGAGTGTACAGTTTAGAAAGGACTGTCATAAGTGCAAATTTATGAAGAATGTAACTGTGTTTTAAAATGGTGTTTTTAATTTAATTTAAAGAAATTTTAAGAGAATTTACAAAATTAGATGTGTGGAAAACATTGTTAGTGTCTCATGAATAGAAACTATTCCAGAGACTGTGCAAAGATATAGCAACTATATGATTGTAGTTTTTCTGTTTAACACTGGAAAAATAGTATCCATGATCATAGAATTACAGGTATATTGAAAGGCTTAAAAAATAAAATTTAGATTGGGAAAATAAAATAAACTATATTTGTAGAGTCAACTGAAGAGGGGGCTCTCAGGATTAAAATGCATTTTGAATAATGTATCAACTAGAGTCAAGAATTGGATAATGGATGTTGAATATAGTGTCATCAATTAACACTGGATTGTGAAAANTAGTCATTACTGATAATGACTATAATTTAACAGAACCTCAAAAAACTAATTTTCCAAAAATACATTAATTAATTAATTAATAAATATGACAATACTGACACTATCTCTATAAAACAAAATAGCAATATATATATATATATATAATTTGATTTGGAGCATATGATGCTATATGCACGTAAATGAACCTTCAAGAAGCAGAACATAAATGCAAATAAGAACAAAGAACCCCAAATTACATCATGGAATGGCATCACACTGCCATCTTGCATTATACAGTCTTTAAAGTTTAGTCCTTTGTATGCAACAAACCCATCCTTTCATCCTGAAATATTCATAACATCACTTTTGTGAGACAAGCTGAGGGTCACTGGGACAATCCCTAATGACTACTTACCCGGCACAAGTCCTCAAAGACCGGTCTCGGATTTTTCAGATGGCTTAGGAGGGCAAATCGAGTGGGGAGTGTGCTGGAAAGCTGGCAGGCATCCTTTAAATGACAGGCAACAGGTTTAACAAAATAACAAAGCATTTATTGAATAACTAATCTTAATTACAAAAGTGATAACTCATAATTTACCTCTATATTATTAACTATACAAAGGGCCGCTCTTAAAAACTAGCATGACTACAGTACACAAATTTACAGAAACAGTTACTGAAACAGTCCACTTCCTAAATATGATAATTAGGTTGACTGATGGAGAATGTGGGACCCAATGGGGCCTGCCGAGACCTGACGATAAAGAAGATAAATTTGTTGTTTTGAAACCCTGTCCTGTTTTATAATTCTGGCGTAGTAAACACTAATATTGTGTCTTTGGAATAAAACACAATACTAGTGTTTACTATGCCAGAAAAAAGATAAAAATGGCAAAATCTCGAAAACCACTGGTCCTAGGACTCCCAAAATCTCACAAAGTACTCACAGTTCAGTTGTCCACAAGATCCGGTATGAATTTCCGGTAAAATGACCACCACCATCCAGATATTTGGTCCCGAAAAGTCCTGATTCTCGGACTTCTGTAACTTTCAAAATTCTTGGCCCACGTTTACATTCTTGATGTCATCTTAATCCTTGCGTAATCCTGAGTCGAACGATATTACACACTTTACTATATCAGATAAATCCCAAGAGAAACTGCACGAGATCCAGGAGCTCAGTTTAGCACGTCCTCACTGTTCAACCGCACTCAAACCTTTAGATAGAGATTAACTGAAGGTTAGTATTATCGTCAGATGTCCTTTTGTCTTTCTCTCATCCAAATTTTCTTATTTTAAACCATAACAAACACATAATTAGCCAAATTATAACTTTGCTTGAACTATTTTGAAATATTTTTAGTTTGTTGCTTTCTTTTCCTGTCTCCTCTTTCTGACTTATATTTTTTCTTATTAGAAAACTGATTGTGAGTTAAAACTGAGATTACTTTCTACTGAGTATTTCTTCTCTTTTACATTACATACTGTTGTTTTTCTTCAAACGTTAAAATAATAATTTTTCCTTTCTTCTTATAAAGTTGTTTTTATTCTTTTATTTTAAGGTTTAAAAGTTAGAAAGAAGTGATTTAATATAATAATAAACAATTATTAGATAACATTCCATAATCTGTTCTTGGAATATAGTAGTCTCTAAGCTTTGAAATGCTAAACTGATGATTGCTCAAAAGGAGTCACTTTTTTGTTTTTTTTTTTTTATAAATTAACTTTTGATAACCTGAAAAAGCAGTAGTGGGTACTTTATTTATCATTAGATAACTATAATTAATAGAAAATATTTGGTTGACTAATGTTTTTGTGGATTTCTCAGTTCTACATGCAATAATCATCATAGACAATTATGAAACTTGGCATTTTCTTTTAAATAAAGAAATCACTGAATTGTTTAGGAAGTCAATATTTCTTAAACAAAACAATAATCATTAATAATAATAAAAATTATAGGGGAAATTATAAAATAAATGTATAGTATTTGATGAAGTGGGCATAATGAACTGCATATTTCATCAAATATTAGAAAACATGAGAATTTTTTATAAGCAGTGAAAACATTTTTCTTACAGAAACAAGCTTTGTTGGCATGTTAAGTGAGTAATTTTCTTATATGAATTGTAGTTATTAAAATAAAAATTCAATGTGAAATTCAATAAATAAATTTTATATACATAGTAAACAACTACTCAATCTATTTATATTGCCAAATAATCTTCCAATTATCTATTGGGCTATATTAATTATAATTAGATACAAATAAATTTGGCTAGAGGTAGGTGGTTATGCCTTCATTTCTTGAGAAATTAATAATTAGAATTAAATTAATTTTAAATTTAGTGTTCTGGAAGAAAAGAATAATTTAATTTCTGATTGTTAAATCTATCAAGTGATAGTAGCTTAATTACCTACTTCTAGCCAAACTAATTTTTTTCTAATTATTATTATCTGTAATACAGTGCGACAAATCTGGCAGATTATTTGGCAATATATCAGGTAGTTGTTTATATACAAATATATTATGCCAGAATAAAAATGTTGTCTGAAAACCATAGAGGGTCATGTGTGCTAAGTCATCCTCAGTCAGTGCTGCAAATGACCAGTATTGTTATATCTAAATTAGTTAATAGAGCTGGAATTAATGGTAAGACAGAGGTTCAGGTATAACTAGCAATGCATTTACTCAGTAAGCAGGAGTTGTGGATTTGAGTGACACTTCAGGTTAATTCTTTTCTTCCAGAATATTCTAAATTTAAAATTAATTTTAATTTAATTCTAATTATTAAATTTATCAAGAAATGGCAACTTAACTGCCTACCTTTAGCCAAAATGATTTGTCTAACTGGTTTTTAGCCTTAATATAGCCTGATAGACAAGATTGGTCAGAGGATAGTGTGAACAGTGTGCTGGTGCAAGACCCCCACGATCCTGCATGATCCAACTCTTGCAAAATTTAAAACTTGATCATTTTATTTTTTGATAATTTAAGTAATTTTCACTAATCTATTTAATGGATGGTATGTTTATCATTAAAATATTATTTTGTTGTTCAAAACTTTTTTTTTAATTATTAAAAGGCCTGCATGAGAACTTTGCACCAAACCTCACTGTTTTTCTTGGGCTGGCCCTGCTGATAGATAATCTGACAGATCATTTGGAAATAATTTTTAATGAGAATTAAATAATAAAGAAATGATTATAATTTAATCCTAAATTTTATATATTTATTCATACAATCCAATATCCATAATTATAATTTAAAATTTTACATATATGTATACAATGTTAGTGTTATTTTTTGTTTTTACAGATGAACCATTACATGCTAGTTCAAAGCTTACACTTTTATGGTGTGCAGTGGTTAGACTTATTAGTGGCTATCAACCTTCTTTATATAGTTGCCAGAGATCTCTACCCCGAATGCCAGTTCCTGCAATTAATGATACAATTCAAAGATTATTAGAATCATTGAAAGCGGTTTGTACTGAAGAAGAATTTCAAGAGATAGAGAAACAAGCTAAAGTAATTATAAATATGATTGAAATATTACAAAAATCTATATTTGTGAAGTAATTTATTATTTATTTAATAAGTTATTATTTTAGTAATTTAATAATAATAACTCTTTAATAACTTAGATGTTATATGGCTTACCATAAAACTTCTCTAACTCAAATTTCTGTAATTTGAATATTTCTTTAACTCAAAGAAAATGAAGCACTTCATAGGTCTCAATGGAATAGCATAGGAATTTAATTAATATCTCCAACTTGAATTTCCTTAATTTGAATTTTCTGCAAGAAAGGTTTTCATGGTCCCCTAATACTGATTTATATTACTTTCAACTTCCTTAACTTGAATTTTAATATTTATTCTATCCAAGGTGACCTAATTATTGGATTTCTATGAACTTGTCAGACAGTTTAGTTGTATCTATTGTTTAATACCCATTTGCAGACAATATTCCAGTCCAAAGCAAGTAAAATTATAGTAGTAAATAGTAGTTTATGGAGTAGTAAAATTATATAGGTCTTATATACTGACTTATTCACTTTTTGATATTGAACATTAGAGCATTCTTCAGATCAACTACAAGGTTATTATAGAAACCTCATTTTAATACAAAGAACTACTACTAATAGATTCAGTTATTCTGTGAAAAATGTATAAATAACACAAAAACCTACACATACTATACATAAATTACAGGAAGGCATTTGACACCATTTGACTGATGGCTGTTATGCATACTTCATACATACAAAATTCCAATACTTACTACGTTTCTAGAAACTACATGCAAAAATAAACAATTGCACAAAATCAAACAAAATTTTTTACAAATAAATCTTAAAATGCTAGCTGTCAAAATATATAATGATAATACGGTTTAGAATGAAAATGGCGGGAAAAATAAGACTAATCTGTCTAGTGGTAAAAAAACGAAATTACTATCCGAACAACCCAATACTTTAGTATCTTTTTTGCCTTTATGTTGTCTGTAACTTTTGACCAGGCCTTCTATTGTGGTGGTTTTGTAGCCTAAATTTGTTGCAATTCTTTTAATTTTACCAATCTCCATAAGACTGTCTTGAATGTTGGTGCAATATAAGAATGCTTTTTTAATAAGTGCCTTAAATGCTGATAACTTGTACTTATATGGATCATTGGACCACGATGGTATATATATGGGAGCATGCGTGGGTTTTAAATACACTGCTGTTTGTACATTTCCTTGTTTAAATTTTATATCAATGTCCAAAAAATGGAGATTAGTATTGTTTTTCTGTTCTAGTTTTAGTTTTAACCCATGATCATTACTATTGATTGCAAGTAAAAATTCTTCAATTTGTTGGTTATCTTTCCAAATTATAAACACGTCATTGACATAATGTTTGTAGATTATAATGTCCTATGTGAAATCTCTGAAGATGTTTTTTTTGAGTTTACGTATTACTAGTTCGAAATGAGTCCTGACATGGGATCTCCCATTGGGACACCTTTCTTTTGTTTGTATGTCATTTCGTTGAATCCAAACAAGGATTGGTAGCACATCAAGTCTGCTAGAGAAGAAAGGTGTCCCAATGGAAGGTCACATGAAAGTGTCTTTATTGACACTGGGAACTTAACAGAGGATATACTCCCAGGTGTGAAAGTTGACAGATACTTGACAAAGTTTATGTTACGACATTAAATTATTTATGTTGAAATCTGGATTCTCACACAAAGAAACTCCCTCATAGCCTTGTGTTTCCCACCACTCCTCTTTTCTGTATCTTGTCAAGACCTTCCATGAAGTTTGACAGGATACAGAAAATTGACAATTAAAAGAAATTCATCCTAAAATCTCAAGTGAAGAAGAATGAAATATCAATGTAATAAGTTATGTACAATGGAGTTATTTAAACTCTCTGTTAAATATAAAATATTAATTTTGACCTAGTATAGGGGTGGCCAATAGTTTTTGCCCCCGGGCCGAATTGGAAAGAGAACTTTCTTCACAGGCCGAACCAGAGGCTGCCCTAGGAAGGTTTTGAGGTGGTGCGAGATCTCATTGTGGTGTCGCCCCATAGAGACTAAATTGTAGATAGAGGTTACAGATACATTTTTAACATTATCGTGCTTTATCAACACTCTCCTCTGTACTTACGAGATTTGTAATGAATGGTTAACTCTAGCGAGTTGTTGATTTTTTTTTTAGGCACTAGAATTTTTCACCAATTCATTCTGACTTGAGTAGCTAATATTGAAAGATCAATCGTGGGCCACATAAATCCATTACACATGCCACATGGCCTAGTAGATTGGATTTTGATCAGATTTTTAATTTCTTCTTTTTGTAAGAAGGAACTCTAAGATATAGTTGAGAATTATATGTCTTTAATTTCATATATCTATGTTTGCATATATTTCATCTTATGATTTTATTTTAAATTTTGTTAATAAATCTGATTTTTGTTTGATTAAATTAGTTTACTGTCTATTGCCTAACTCGGGTCAGCAACCTGCGGCTCGCGAGCCACATGCGGCTCTTTGGATGTGAAGCTGCGGCTCTTTAGTTCCATACGCAAATATTATTTATTTTACAAAAAAAAAAACATTTAAAAATCGTTCTGAATCGATTAATGAGGATTCGGCACCGATTCTATCTCTCAGCCACTTGTACTCGCTTTTCATCGCACCTCTCCCCCGTGACACGCGTTGTCACTGTCGTCAATCTGTCGGAAGCTTTCGAATGACGCCGTCGTCGGATGTTTCTATAAGGTTTAATTCGCTTTCGACGCAAGACAATTTGGCGTCTTCACCAGTGCTTTGGCTATGACGTATAGTTTGTTGTTTCGAGTAAAAGAGTTAGAAGCGAATTATCTTCTCAAAGTTATGTAAAAATTTTGTGGCTCTTTAAAAACTTTGAAATTTTGTAAATTGTAATTTTTGGCTCTTCCGACTCAAAAGGTTGCCGACCCCTGCCCTAGACCTACAGTATTTTCCTTGGGGTGTAAAATATTGTACACGATAC